CATATGAATTTACATAGACTTTTCAACATATATTCAGCAACAGTATTATGATATTTATGTTGACTAGATTTTAATGTTATCGAATCTATTTTGATTTCATCAATTTCTTGGTAAAACGCAGTCTATATGCGTAATTATTTAAATTTTCCAATATCATGTTTTATTAAATTATTTATATTTTTATTTTTAAAATATGCAATATTTAACATATGTTATTTTACGATTTTATACATTTTCATCCACATGTTGCCCTTATAAATCATTTTTTTTTTTTTTTTGTAATAACTAAACAAATATTAGTATAAAATATATTACATAAATACTGTTTTTTTTTTTTTTTTTTGAAGGGGGAAGAGGGGTTCATTATATATACAATAATAGTCAAAATTAATTTGTTTTTGAATAATTAAAGGGCATGTATATATGACTAAATAAATTAGGCAAACAATATATTATAATTTTTCTTTAATTAAAAATAGCCAGTAATTATTTGATAATTTATTGGTAGTTTTTAGTACCAAGGTAACGATTATTCAATTTATTCAATGCTAAGTTATCTCAAACCAAATAATAAATTTATCACAGTTTACAAAAAAAATGAATACATTTAAAACATAAATACATATTATCTCGATTGTTATTATTATAATTATTATTTTCATACATTTTGTTAAAAAATAATAATAATACATTCCTTGTTACACTCAGAATCTAAAAAAGTAAAAACAATCACTTTTATCCGATGATAGAAATTTATGAGGTTTAATTTTTTCATTATCATTATTGTATCTTATACTAAACTTAAGAATAATAAAAAATAGACGTAGACTGCAGACGTAACAATAATTGTTACAATTATTGTATTACTCAAAACATTTACCTATTCTATTTTCCGTATGTATCAATAACTAAAGCCGTATCTAGAAATTTTTTTTGGGAGGAGTCCAAAACATTTATATTATAATTTTATTGAATTTAGATTTTAACTTTTAATATTCGGTTAAAAATAAGACAGAAAAAGATTTAATCTTCTTTTATTAAAATTAATATCATATTTTCATATGATATTATGATTTAAAATTAAAAGCAATCAATCATTAATTGGAGTTAAAGTCATTTTTGACAGAAAATTTATGTTGGTATTAAAAATAAATAAGAATTTTAAACATTCGTAAAATATTGAAGAAATTACTTGTCAATAATACACAATAATTACCACAAACATGAATAACGCTGAAAACTATGAAAAAATCTCGTTATTTAAAATTTAATGTACGTTTAAATATTTGCAATAATCGAAATTATACACATAATTAAAATATACTCATCAAAAAAATGAAAATAAAATGATTCATATTATGTGGGCATTACGACACTCGCCGTTTCTTTTACGTAGGTACATAATAGATTTCAAAGTACAATAAAAAAAAAACATTTATCACGTGTAATTTGTATATAATAAATATAATGTATAATTAATACAGGTTAGGCTATTAATATATTAAAACTTGCTTACTTTTATGACAAGAGAGTCATATTTTTTTAATTTAATTTCTATTTGCGCATTTCAAGCGGACTCGTTGTCGACGACATGCATATTACCCGGGCAACACCCTGTTCGCCCAAAAATGACCTTTCGCTTTTCGCCCACGTCTCTTTTTGCCCAATAATATTACATAGCACTTTTCAACCACATTTTTTTAATACACACTTTGGATAACATTTACTTTAAATTATTTATGTCTAACATAATAATACATTTGTCATATTTAAATTATTTATTTATGTAAATTAGTTTTATTAAGCCATTTAGCATTATCCAGAGAGTACCATGAGGAAGTAGCTTCTATTATTCCAAAAATGTAATGTGTTTTTGTACATGAATATAATTTTTATATAATGTATGTAAGTTGTTATCAAAAATATAAATCAATTTGACGATGAATATTTGTTAGAACGTAAGATATGTGATTATGTTCTCCAGTTGTTGAAAGAAAAAAATAATTTTTGTCTGAGTATATTAGTGCACTACAAGTTCTCGTAACACATCTCCAACGAGTAGAGCCGTATTTTTTACTTGTCGATCCAAAGTTATATTTAAAAGTATTATACAGTGCCATACGACATCCTCGTTTACTTTCTATGATTTTGAATTCCATGATTTTACAATAGTAAGATTTTCAACAATATTTAATACAAAATTACTGTCAAAAAATGCACTCAAACACTTCGACTCAAAGTAAAACGAAACTGCACCGAAGCAGTTGTCTAATTATCAAATGTTATTACGGCTAGTATACTATTATTATCTTATCTTTATAAAGTAATAAGCGAACTACACTGAGATAGATATATCTAGACGGCGGACCATTGTAGAAATTATATACTTATAGTTTCCAAATATTATAAATATAAGATTAAGATATTGTAAATGTATGATGTAGATATAGTGTTTCCCAAAGTGTGTATTATAAAAATATGGTCGAAGAGAGCTATATAATATTCTCTGGCAAAAAGCGAAAGGTCATTTTTAAGCGAAAAGAGTACCGCCATATTACCCGAACCAACCGGACCGAACAAACCGAAAAATATTCAGCAGGAATTTTTTTTTGGATATACTCATAGCTGTATTCACGGCTGGAGCCCGATTGAGTACGATTGATCTTTTCGTAACTCGATTGAGCACGGTTGCAATCAAACAATAGGAACCAAAAAAGAACCCAAAAACCACACGATTGAGCATAAAAATGGGTGCCGCATTGCCGTTTTATACCATAGAATATTATTCGGTGCACCGTATTACTGTGAATTCAAGATTTTTTTATAATTATTATGTAATTCAATTTTAGATTTGTAACGATTATTTCATAATTTAAAATTTTTACCGCTCAGGTTTCCTAAAATAAATAACTCTCTAATAGAAAAACGACAAAACACCTTATTTTTGGCATTTTTTATTTTTTATTTTTTTGTTGGTGTATAGAGCTCGATACGTCAATATTATTATTACAAAATAAAATACATTTGAATATAATTATTTATAAATAAAAATCTTTTATTGCATTTTCATCACATGTTATAATTACATGTTTTTTTTCTAAAAAATAGCACACATACAATTGTTATGATAAAGGTAAAATTTTAAATTTTTTTCCCTAAATACTTATTTCCATTTTTCAATAAGTATTTAAGTAGGTTAGCATTTTTAAATTCAGAGTACTCACGATAAACCTTTAAAGCGGTATTTTTAACGTACGTTAAATTCAAGATGCACGCGACAGTTTTCGAAATATTGCGTCATAATTTTACTGCGCGACACTCGTGTATTGTGCTCTATTAGTTTTAACTTTAACAAAATGCGCAGTAAAATTACAGTGCGGTAAAATACCGCTAGTGTGTTGCCAGCCTATAGTTTTCGATCTGACAACCTTGTATACAATATTTTTTTTTTTACCGAGCTCAAACAGATCGTCAAAAAGGTCGGCCGATAACGATCGTGCTCAGTCGGGTATCACCGGTATTCACTGTCCCCAAATTTTCAATTCGAACTATAATAGTTTAACAAATTATATTGTGTTCTGATAGTTACAAGATACCAGGTATTTTTTTCTACAATAATTTTTCGACAGTTGACGAGTGCGTTGCACAGTGTACATTTGTAAAAATTTGTATGAGAAATATTATATTTTAAATTATACTTAAAAATATGGACAATGTAATGATTCTTGAACGTGTGTGATGTATTATCAACTGCTAAAATACTTATGAATTACAAGTTTACATTATGACTACATATCAAAAAATTAATGTAAAACGGTCGATTACAGATAGAATCATCACACGTTCGACGTATCTACAGACTGCTAAATAATATTAGTAATAATAATAATAATTATAAGTACACAACAAACATTAATGGTGTCACCAAACACCAAATATAAAATGATCTACAATGAGTGATGGATACAATTATTTTAAAAATGTATAACAATTAAATTAAAAAATATTACCATATTAATATAGTATCACCAATTAATTAGCAATAAATTCAAATATGTTTGAAGGTTGAAAGTTAAACCAACCAGAATTTTGGATCGAGTAATCGGTTTAGTAAAAACAGTTTTTGGTTTAGTACTCACACATAAATTTGGTATATTTTTTTTTTTCTGAATGGTCGATTCGGCCGTTTCGGGTTAAGTGTATGCGTAGATTTATAAATACACATTTACGGTTCGAATGTCGAATTTGTAGCATATACACTAGTACGTGATATGATTAGATTTCAATTAGCCTGTGGTGTATTGAGGTCACCACACCAATTTCGTCGATTGAGCCATGGTTCAAGTGGATGGATTTCCAGTGTAATGAATTGTTTGGTGCGTTCTGCGATCAGTGCGCATTGGGGCAATGCGGGGGATTTCGTATAATGTTTCAGTTGCGTTTATCACTAATGAAAATCAATAAGGTTTAAAAATCGAAACGGGGCTGCCTACCCACGAACACGCGTTTACACTACAAAATTCCAACCGTCCCATTTCTTTATACCTGCCTTCTCACTTTCTCTACATCATCGTTTCTCAACCTTTTTAGTGTCGCGACCCCCAAAATAGGTATAAAATATAGTCAATCACTTCGCGACCCCCCCTCCATCTAGGTTAGGTAAAAATTTAAACAGTAAAAATATCCTATCATTAACCAAACGAAATATAACATTTTAAATACCAATTTATAAATACCATATCTAGTAACTTTAGCTTATCAAGTTTGAAAGTTATGTATTGGTCGTTGGGAATTTCCATTAGTGGAGTAGTGCCCGTTTTATTGATGAGATATCTACATTTAATCGACTGCTTATTATTGTTATTTTTAATATTATTTTTGTGTGTTATGAAACGATTACAGTCGCGCGTCGTTCGTGTTATAAAACTCATGTGATATTGCGTTTATTAAGTTGGTTTTTAGTGAGTCTTTTTAGTTTTGTGTAATTTGAATTAATGATTATGGATAAATATATAACAAAACGTAATGCTCCGTCTACTTCTGATGAACCAGCGAAAAAAAAATTCAGGCCATATAACAATGAGTATTTGAAATATGGGTTTATTTCACTTGATAATAGCCCGCAATGTGTTGTTTGCTTTCAAGTTCTATCTCAAGAAAGTATGAAACCTTCAAAATTAATTCGACAACTGGAAACAAATCACCCACTGTTAGTAAAAAAACCAATTGATTTTTTTGAGCGTAAATCCCTTTTTTTAAAAAATCAACAAACGTGTATTCTTAAATCAAGTCAGAATAACACCGCAATACTTGAAGTATCATATTTAGTAGCACTTAGAGTAGCTAGGGAATCAAAGCCGCACACGATTGCTGAGAACTTCATTCTACCCGCTGCTATTGATATGGTCAATATTATGATAGGTGCAAAAGAAGCAAACAAATTAAAAACTATTCCACTTTCAAATGATACAATATCAAGACGAATTAATGAAATGTCAACTGATGTGCTCAATCAAATAGTACAAAATCTAAAATCAAGTGAGTATTTTTCTATTCAGTTTGACGAATCAACAGACGTAACAAACTTGGCACAATTTTTATGTTTTGTTCGCTACGAATGTGACGGGACAATTAAAGAAAATATACTTTTTTGCAAATCAATACCAGGTCATGCTACTGGACAAGGTCTTTTTGAATTATTTATTGAAACAACAAAAAATGAAAATTTGGACTGGAACAAATGTATTTCAGTGTGTTCTGATGGCGCAAGAGCAATAATAGGGAAAAATAGTGGTTTAATAGTAAAATTAAAAGAATTAATGCCACATATTGAATGGACACATTGTTTTCTTCACAGGCATGCACTTGCCGCAAAAAAAATGCTAGATAATTTAAAAAATGTGTTGTTTGAAGCTGTAAAAATAGTAAATTATATTAAAAGTCAACCGCTGCAGTGCAGATTGTTTTCCGCACTATGTGAAGAAATGGGCTCCAAGCGCAAGTCACTGCTTTTCTATATCAAAGTTAGGTGGTTCTCACGAGGAAAAGTGTTAACACGGATTTTTGAGTTGCGAAATAAATAATATAATAATAATAATATTAATAATATTTTTTAAAGATCGAAATAACACATTTTTAACTTTTTTCCAAGATAATGAGACATTACTATTTTTGGCTTATTTGAGTGATATATTTTCACATTTGAATGACTTGAATATAAGCTTACAAGGCCGTGAAAAGAATATTCTAATAATGTCAGATAAAGTTAATGCTTTTATCAAAAAACTTGGAATTTGGATCATTCGTCTCGAAAAACGAAATTTTGATGCATTTGATTTAACATCAAATTACATTGAAAAAAATGTAAACTTAAAAAGTCCTATTCTTGATCATGTTTTTGATACTATGAAAACACATTTAAGAGAATTGAAAATTCAATTACTCGAATATTTCTCGTGTAACGACAATGACTTCTCAAATAGATGGGTTCTTAATCCATTTGATGAAAATATTGTTGCAGTTGCCAAATTACCAGTTGAGACTCACAACCAACTGATAAGAAATTACAGCTACAATTTGGATTTCAAGATTTAAATAAGGTTTGGATTGCCCGGAAAAATGAATATGGAAGTTTGGTAATAGAGACATTGAAAATTTTGATTCCGTTCGCTACTTCTTATTTATGCGAAAAAGGATTCTCATCCATGGTGGCAATAAAAACAAAGTACAGAAATCGTTTGTTATCACTAGAAAATAACTTACTTTTGTGTTTCAGATGTTGAACCACAAATTAAGCAACTTTTAAATGTAAAACAAATTCAAAGATCACACTAATTATTTATTTAAAATTATTTAAAAAATCTTAAATATTTAAATAAAAAGGTGCATTTTGTAAATCAGCATTTTATTATTTTTGACCTACGCGACCCCGAGTCAAGGTGTTCGCGACCCCTCTGGGGGTCGCGACCCCCTGATTGAGAAACGCTGCTCTACATGATCATTGTCTCGCGTTTTGTTCGTTTTGGTAATACTCAGGCTCGAAGGTAACAAGATAACATAGGTATATGGATGTTCAAGAATGGGAATATGAAGTTATTTTGTTGATTCAGTGGCACTTTATAGCCTAGTAAATAAAATAACTTGTCTGTTACCAACATAATTTTTTTTCAATTTCTTTAAATATACTGCTTATTGTATTAACTCATTAGTATTTATTAGTATTTATTTATCTGCTAAATTAATTAATTTGCCCATCTATGTAATATTACTTTTCGTTGTAAGCGAATATTATTAAGCTCTTAATCCAGTCGTGAGGTGAAGATATCTCATAATTCCGGTGTTCATCAATTGCACCAATTTTGGGACACTACTTGTTTAATATACATTTTTATCGAAAAATTATACTAAAAAGGTATATATCAATTGCGCTGGAAAATTTTCAACCACTTAACTGAAAAGATATATAGGTAAGTACTTTACAAGAAAATTAATAATTTTGGTAAATAATCATTTCTTTACTACGTTCACTTAAAAATACTATTCCATATACTACGTATTTACATTATAAATGTAAGCACGAGCTACGACCATATACGTACAACGCGTGAAATTATACTAAAAAATACTACGAATTTATTTTATAAACACATGATATTTGTTGACATTTTGTTTAATTTTCAAATAATAAAATAATATTACGATAAAAATAATGGTTTTCAAACGTACCTACGAGCACAATAATGTAAACCCATTTATTACCAAATGTACAATACTGCTAATCTATAAGCTCTAAAGTCAGTGTATTATACACATTTATATATATGTAGGAATTGACGCAATTGACATACATTATATTACATTTAAATATCAATCGATGCAGTTGATATATACCTTTTTTGTATAATTTTTCTTTCTTTACCTGCCATTTTTGGCGCAACTAATACATGCGCTCCATAGTTCTATGTGTATGCACTATACTTAAATTTTTTGATTTGGCGCCACTATTTTTTATTAAATTTTCGACCACCATATGTTTCATTCAAACAGTATAAAGTTTTATACATTTTTAACTATAAAAACGTGACTTATTTTCATGATTTTTATTGTTATGGCAACGTTTAATACTAAAACATTCATAACAAATTCTTTTGTGAATTAAACTTAATTTTGATTTACCACACAATAAATTTTTATTGATTTTCTCTGGCTCATTTTAATGTTAGTATTAAATTCTCTAATATTGCAATCTTTATAATTGAAAAACTTATACTACTTAAATGTTCATTATGGTCATGTTGATAAATTATATTACATTTTTTTATATCTTCCCCACAGACCCGTAGCCACGGGAGGGGTAAGAGGGAAATTGTTCTTCTGGACCTAATAGTTGCCCCCTAACAAGTATTAAATGTACATATGTACTATGTAGTAGTATGCACTATATTGTTTTTTTCTAATGTCCACTAAAATTTGGTTTGTTCCACCTGATGATTTTTTTCAACTACGAACCTGCTTTCCCAATTTAGTATTCATATTTATTTAACACAATATATTAACTTTCTTTATTTTTTTTTTATTTAGTCACAATTTATTGACTTTGTATATATCTGACAATGAATTTTTAATTCAGAATCGGTCGTACTTTACAAATTTTATTATAAATACTCAAATATTATAATAATACTCCAAGCTTAACTTTTATTTATTTACTAGCTGACCCGACAGACTTCGTCCTGTCAAAAAGATTTGTAATGTGGCAGTTTTTGTGCCTACGTATTTTAAAAAATTCTCCTGAACAGAACCGTCACCCTGGTGATAGGGCGTTGTGAATAAAAAATAATTAAATAAAACATATATAAGGATTTAAAAGTAAGTAATCGCTTTATTGTTAATCATGTGAATCATAATTATTATTATTATCATTGTAGTGCTTTGTGGTATACGATGTTTTTTGTTTGATTACCTGGCGCATAGATAAACAAATCTGATGGTTTTCCAACACGGGAACAGGCAACATACAATTGACCATGTGAGAAACATGGGTTTTCTAGATTAATACCACAAACACTTAATGATTGTCCCTGGGACTTGTTTATAGTCATAGCAAAAGCAAGACGCACTGGAAACTGTAGTCGTTTAAACTCAAATGGCACATCAGTCGGAATCATTGGGATGCGCGGTATGAGAACATCTTCTCCTTTATACTTTCCTTTGAGTATAGTTGCTTCTATCACATTGTTTAGTAATTTTTTTATCGCTAACCGTGTACCGTTGCAAAGATGCGGTTGGTTGATATTTCGTAACATTATAACCACCGATCCAACCTTTAATTGAAGATTGTGAGGTGGCAATCCTGGCAAATCCAGCGAGTTTAAAAATTTCGGTGGATAGTTGACTACATCATCTTGATTAGTAGCCGAATCAACTGATTTATATATCCTCAATTCACCTGTAATTTGTTCTTGAATTTTGAAATTTAATTCATTTACATCTATGTTTTTTGCAGCCAGTATAGCTCGTTCGCTCAACCAATCATGGTTTCTGTAATTTTGAGAAACATCTGGAAACACCTTCTGAATAAGTTCATCTTTTGATCGAGTTAACTGACAAAAACTTTGAGGAAAGTTAATGCAGCCAGTCAACATGTCTATAGGAAATTTGCCATTACCAATGTCAATGAGTTGTTTAGAGAATATGTTTCCAGATTGGTCATTTTGCAACTCGACATGCATATTCTTGCTTAAATGAAGTACTTTGACATGTTTCCACAAACTGGAGGACTTTAGACATGCATTGAGTTCATCAGCTGGCGTTGATCGTGGAATTGTGTATATTGTGTTGATCGTATTGTGCGGCACGGCGGTCCGCGGGTTTCCAGCTACCTGCAACCTATCCTTTTTGTTCGTCGTCGTCGTCGTGTAGATAAGAATAAATCGAAACTATATTTATAACTTTATACACAAGTCCAAATTAATTCTACAAATAGAATTTGTATGTGTATTGGTTTATGTTATCGGTGTGCATTTTATCGTTCATTATAATAAAATAGGAGTATTGGTGTACGCGCGATGCATGAGATTATTTTTATCGATAAACTTACGTTGAGTAGTTAATAATTTTTGAGATACAGCGATCAGTGAGTCAGTGGTATTTGGATTATATGTATAGATAACTAATTATTGACTAACATTATCGGACTTTATTTATGCCTATTACCGTGATATCCTCTTTCATTTAAAAAAAACTGTATGAGAATTGGATAAGAAGTTGCGAAGCCAATATAAATAAAAAAGGTATAATATAAGAAAATAGTATTTTTTTCATTCTCATTTTTTTTATATATAATAGTTGAATACCTTCTGGGTGAAGCCGGGTAAACCAGCTAGTTTAATATGAACTTTATACCATAGCAATAAAGCTCAAATTGACTACGTTTTAGTTACAAATCATTTGTATTAGAAAAAGAAAAGGGCTATTTTTAGGGTTTTTCCAGCAATAATTCTAATTTTTCTCGCCGTAAAAACCATCCTTGAACTTCAACGAACATTTGAAAAAAAGATTTGGCCAAATTGGTCCAGGCGTTGTTGAGTTATGCGCTTACCAACACATTTTGCGATTCATTTTTATATTATAGATTTCTATATATAAACTATACATTTATTTATGTATTAATTTACAAACATTGACTTTTTAATAATTTTTAATTTTAACTAATTTTTTTATTATTTTATTACATTATTATGATGATAAGCTCTCGAACCTTTGATCGTGAAGAAGTTATTAGGTTAGGATTGAAAATTAAATAGCCATTTGTTTCCTAAATCCAAAACTAAAATATTTTAAATACAATTCACACAAAAAGCTCTTCCAATAAATAACACGTCGTTGACTATCCATGTGTATATAATCAGTACCAATATTTTATGCATTGCTTACTATATTGACATTAAGGTTAATTAAAAATTTAAACTACTCCCTTACATTTGTTGGAAATCAGCAAGAAAAGTTAAAATTTATAATACCTATTATGTATAAATTTAATATTTTTTCTAAATATATGTGTTTTTACTAAGTGTTATAACTTGTACTATTTACTGCAATACCTGGTACGGTCTCAAAATCCCACTAAAATATTTGAAGTTTTCTTAAACCGAACATAAATTTTACGACCGTAAATATTTATAAAACAAACATGTCTTAATCGCTTCGTATAACCGCAATCTTTGTTTGGAAAACATCAAATTAGAAAAAAACAATATATAATTGATTTTACGTTTTGAAGTAATTTTATTGTGTTTCGATCCTTTTGTGATATCAAACAATAGAATTTGCCGTCTCTATTTATATATAAGAGCACGGATGGAAACGAAAAAACACCGCAAACTAATAACTGCGTGCACGATGTTAAAACTTTAATAAATGTATTATATAGATATAGTTATTACTATATTACAGCGGTTCCCAAACTGTGCACCACGGTGTCTTAGGGGCACCCCGACCACTTTCTAAGGGCACCTCTACGGTTCATAACAAATAGTTTAAAATGTATGAAATTGTTTTTCCTTATTGTTTTCGTAAAAACTTTATAGCAAATAATGTAATATTTTCTATTGTATATTCGGATACTCTCATTTTAACCTTATAATATTTTTATATAATAATTATAATCATAATAACAATAATTTTTATTTATTTATTTTTTAAGTTTAAAAATGCATTAATTTATACTTGAGTTCAATTTTAATAAAATTAATACAATTGATTATCAATAAGTTTTTTTTTTTGTTCTGTCTTAAGTGTTATTCACAGCTGGGCACCGTGGCTAAATTGGGTCCAAAAAAAGGCACCATGGAAATAAAAGTTTGGGAACCGCTGATATATTATTTTGTTTTAGGCGATTGAACAAAACATTATTTCAGTTTGCCGCGTCGTCGATTCTCCGTCGCCATCGTAGTAAACAATCACCGACCGTACAACAGCGGATGGTTCCATTTTTAAAATCTACACTTACCTCCCCCCGCATCAGATCCCGAGAGAACACAAAACTCGGCTACGAACAACGGCATATCTGTGCTACCAAACGGGCTTTTCCAATCCGGAAATCGAACCTCTCCACCAACACCACCACCACCACCACCCCCGAGCTTTGCTCGTCTGTTTCTGAGACTCCTCGTGACCATCACTGCCGCCAAACATTTATCCATTATTCAAACAACTTAAATGAAGATGCGTATCACAGTGAGCTGCCGGTGAGGGGATTAACCGTTCAACATCCCTTTACTCTATTTCCGTTCCTGTTACGGCTCACGTCCACCGAGCGGATTTCTAATCCGTTTCCAAACAACTTGATTTCCGGTTTCCGGTCTCTTCGGTGCGGCAGCAGTGCGGAGACGCTGTTTCTATCGAAAGCGGCTCCGCCAATGCATGTATGTATGTTAACGAGTCCACATACAAGAGACTGAGGGAAAAAGATAGATAGTGCGAGTATGAGATAGAGAGAGAAAGTGATAGAGAAATAGTAATTTCACGTGTGCATATATGCACGTATACGTATGAAATATTGACCGGAAAATAAAATACTAAACTAAACTCTATTACTTGGCGACGGGTTTAACCCCTTTCGTCTTCAGTATCCGGTGACACCACACTATCACTAACGAGTGTAGAGGGCGTGTATACTTTAATACAATTTGAACGACTGTGTAGTGTATTTGCTGCGCACGCGAGCGCACACGCTGCTCTTATCTCGTTGGCAATGACGGCTTTGATAATGATAATAATATATGTGCACATTCGAAATTGCTTTGAAACGGTAATTGCGTTTGAATAAAAAAATGAACAAAATTATATTCACGTTCTATGAAATGAATCAATACATATATATGTATATATACAGTCGAATGGGCGGTCTTCCGGATCCGGGGATCGGTTGAAACGATTACTTTCATACATATTCCCCATACATTATATATTATGTAGTATTCGATACTGTACAAATGTGCTGTATTTATTGACTTTTCTAAGTCCGATTAATCTTTTACGTTCATAAAATTTTGATTTTTGTTTTTTTGAATTCTAACCAGCATCTTTCAATACGTGATCTTAAATAATAAAAACCAGTAAAAAATATTTATGAATTTCAATAAACTTAAGTAAATTACTCAAATACATAATATGCATACATTACAATTTTATATACAATACACACGAATACATCCATTGAATGGCCGAAATAATCTAATTAAATTAAACTATGGTATCCATTGCTTTATTTTACTTTTTAATCCAATTAAAGTATTATAATTTATAGTATTTATTGTATATTCCATTAATAAAAATAATATAGTTAATTAATTTAAAATGATAACAACTGCAGATTTCAACGAAAGAGCAAAAATTGACCCGGTGGATTTTTAGTCGGTACCAGATGGCAAATTTAAATGGACACTAAATAACCAAAACTATGCGACAAAATGTGTAATTCTAAAACCATTACAAAGTAAAAGAGCAACTGAAGTTGCTAATGAGTTTATATCCATATTATTGACATTTGGAGCTCCAAAAATATTACAAAGTTACAATGGCAACGAATTTGTAAATTCTGTAATCAATGAACTTAAAGACCTTTGGCTAGAATGTGCTATCATGCATGGTCATCCTAGACACCCTCAAATTCAGAGAAGTATTGAGAGGTCTAATTAGGATGTAGAAAACATATTACGAGAATAGATGGCTGATAATAAATTTAAAAAGTAGAGCATATGATTAAATTTTGTCTAATTCCAAAAAAATAGTTCATTTCATCGAACAATTGAATGCAATGCTAATATAATTGTTATATTCTTGTTCATAAAACAATATTGAAAAGTAGTTATAATACTATGATATGATATAATTATTTATTGCTAAATAACATAACAATTTTGTTTTAAAACAATTACACAAAATACACAATATTAGGTATAGTAAATAGGTATTGTCCATTTTATGAAATATATGTCCGTTTCATGAAAACGGTGTTCATATAATGTATTTTCGTCAAAATTCACGATCTAGACGAATTTTACTATCTGGATATCCAGTTCATGAAATGAATGATTTCAGTATGTGGATGTGACATATATACTCAACAAAAACCATAATGTGTATACGATTCGAAACTTCAACAAAACAGGATATATTTGTCTACACAAATATTATATATTCCGTGTATATACAACTTACTTGGCCTCTAATTTACAAAATTATTCCATACACGAATTCTATGTACA